TTTATTATTTATAATTTTCCTATATATTATAGTCATCCACAGAAGGTCTAAAGGTTGACTCAATATTTCTCCAATCTTTAAAGAATGCATCCAGTTGTGTGTTAAGTACTACATTACAAAGTGTATAGCTAGACAATGGAGCGATAAACACCTTTTCGCTTAAGCACACTCAACAACAGAACAAATGTTTATAGGTCGTTGCTAGGCAACAGTCAGCATGCCAATGGACTGGAGAGGTAGCTATCACATGACTAGTGTTCTCTGTGGTCTTCCTTATGCAACAGTAGGACTGCGTTTTCCATGCATGGTCAGTGTGGAGGCTATATAATGACAGTTACAGATATAACAGTTTTCAAAGTATAACAGGCTTAAACTTGGCGGCGGTCAAGCATACCTGTACGACCGTTCAAGTGACTAGACTGCCCCACAATATCAAGACCTAAACTGTCAAACAGTAATAAATATCTGGTCATGAGCCTCAGATTGAGCTCGACACCAAGATTGACTGACTGACCATCAGTCGCAATGTGACTTTGATTCTGACTTGAACAGTTTTCAGTTTTAAGTGCAGTTCCATTCAAGTGAGTTCTTGGTAGGAGACAGCCATGAAAAGTTCAGTTTTGACTTCAGCAGAGTGCAGTTGAGTTCCAGACTGTCGGAACAAGAAATGACAAGAGGACATCATAGCGTTCCAAAATGCTAGTTAAGTGCTGAGATCCATTGCCAGGAGATGACTAGTGAAGACAGAGAATCCTAGTACATGTGAAGCAGTAAACTGCAGAATGTGTAAATCAGCAGTATTGCTGCACTGACTGTAATTAAAAGACGCTGTAACCAAAGTGCTAATAAATCCAATCACCCGAACTAGAACCCATCATTTTGGACGCATGTACCACCTTACACGTATACAGTATATATAAAGAGAGAGTTTTTCTCAGTATTTTATGTGGAATAAATATTTTGATACTCTCGAGTATTCTGTTCTTGAAATTATTCCATACCTCCTCAACATATCTACCATTGCTTGCCCATATTACGAATCGATCCCACAGGAATGTTTACAGGCCTAAAGACTTATGAAGGATACTCCTGCAATTTACATGCACCAAAACCATCAAATTACCCTCTATCCTCTGTGCCCCTCTCGTGGCTACCCATTCATAACTTGTCACCTCTTCTGTCTTCCTCATCTGATTCCTTTTCGCTTCTTCCCTCTTTATCATCTGCCAGACTAGTGTTAGATGTTCTTGGGTAACTGTCTTCCATGTCCTTTCAAGCATTCTATCCTTGTTAGTACTCAGCAACAGTCACTCCTTCGAATTGTGTCCTCCACCATCAAAGCCACAAACTCTAGAATACAGTTGGCTTAGTCTTCTTACTGCACTTGGTCCCAATTCTCAATCCAACTATTCGGATCTACAAATGTAATACCCAACATCTTCACTATTCAGTCATGTCTGCTGTTTAATGCTCTGATTCACTGCCATGACACGTCTCTGCATCTAAGTATGCCACTCAGAACTAATCTGGATTAAGGAAACTTAGTTTCTTCCTGATTCACTCGAGCATACACATCACCCATTACATAATCAAGACCTGCAGTTCATCTTAAATCATTAGCACCTACATGAATTACAACAGTATCAGCGCTCCCTAGATTTCCATGACTCTTTGCAGTTGTTGAGTTCTAATTCCCGGAAAGCAATGTACCCTCACATGTTCAGATTCTACATTCCATATAATCAAGTCACCCAACACTAAGCACTCTGCAACCCCCAGGTTGTCTCCGCACCATATCATGCTTGCCAAGCTTGCATCCAGCTACCGCCCCTCGTAACAGCTCTTCCAACCCTTCGTTCTTCCGTTTTAGTTCAATTTGTTGCAGAGCATTTCCAGTTTCTCCTCTAGTTGTTCCATCTGCACCTATCACAACTCCACTTCCCACTATTAGCCATTTGAGCCTTGACGTTTCCACAGATATTGTGAAACCGACGTCCACACATCACACTGTGTTCCAGATTTTAAATTCCTGTCACACCCACTACACAATACTTGCAGACTGTTCTCAGTCTCCACACCAGGTCCAGGATTTTCCTTCAGCCTGCCAATTACTAATAATATTTTCTTTAGTTGACCTAATCCTTCCAGCCACACTAGGCCCTGGGGTTTACTCCACCTCTAACAGAAATGAGTACCACGAATTTATTAAATAATTTTCCTGGGGAGTAAAGCGCAGCCATCTCGTAAGGCTGACAACCTTACCGCCATCTTTGAGCCGATTGTCTAGATAATGTGGGACCCTCAACGTCTCACAACCCTATGGGCCTTCACGGCCTGGTACAGGGATAGCTTTACTTTTTTTTACTTTTTACAGTTAAAGCCGCTGCACAGAGAAGCATATTCCCTACATAACTTATTGCTTGGCCATTACTGTCTCGGCCTTGGGCAGTATGCCATGACATCTTTGCAGCCCAGGTACCCATGCTGACTCAGTAGTCCCCCAGGTAGCAACTCATTAATAGCACCACTCAAAAAACACATCCGCTTTCAACAACCCTCGAGACCAGACTGGCAAAAGTTAAAGGAGACTGGCAGTGAGCAAACAAACAATGTACAGAGTTCATATGGGAAGTTCAATCTCAAGAAAATAAATGAGGTAGAGGGTGAAGAGCAGTATCATGTTCAAATCACAAATAGGTCTGCAACTAGGAAAACTTACACCCTGAGGTAGATATTAATACACCTTGGGAAACTATTTACAGAGAATATAAAAATGTCTGCCAAAGAGAGTCTAGGTTATTATGAATTGAAGAAGCATAAGCCATGGTTTGATGAAGGATTCTCAAAATTATTTGACCAAAAGAAGCAAGCCAAATTGCAGTGGCTACAGAATCCAAGCAAAATAAATGGGGATCATCTGAACAATATAAGACATGAAACCAGCAGGAAATTCAAGAATAAAAAGAGGGAATATCTGAAATACAAAATTGATGAGCTTGCAATGCACAGAAACAACAAAAACATTTGACTTTAAGAGGGGTTACCAACTAGAAGTAACTTACTGAAGGATGAGAATGGTGATCTGTTTACAGATTCCCACAATATTTTCAACAGGTGGAAGAACTACTTCTCTCAGTTATTGAATGTACATAAGGTCAGTGATGTTAGGCAGACAGAAATACATATAGCTGAGACATTAGTACCTGATCCTAGCCCTTCTGAGGTTGAAAATGCTACTGCAAAATTGAAAAGGTATAAATTGCCAGGTAATGATCAAATTCTGTAAGAACTAATTCAAGTAGGAGGTGAAATATTATATTATAAGATCCATAAGCTAATTAATTCTATTTGGAATAAGGAAAAATTGCTGATCAGTGGAAGGAGTCTATTAACATACCAGTTCACAAGAAGGGTGACAAAACTGACTGCAGTAATTATTGTGGGATATCACTGCTATCAACATCATACAAAATTTTATCCAATATTCCTCTCTCAAGGTTAAGTCCATACATAGATGAAATTATTGGGTATCATCAGTGCGGGTTTCAACATAACAGATCAACTACCGATCAGGTCTTTGGCATTCATCAGATACTAGAGAAAAAATGGGAGTACAATGAGACAGGAGCACACAGTAGCATAGTTGGTTGACACACTATGCCACAACCCGGAAGGTCACGGGTTCGCGTCCTAATGAGGTGCATTTTTTCAATTGACCTCATTCTTCCAGCCACAGTATGGCCCTAGGGTTGACTCAGCCTCTAACAGAAATGAGTACCAGGAATCTTCCTGGAGGTTAAAGGGTGGCCAGCATGTAAGGTCACAACCTTTAGGTCAGTTGGGAGGGAAGCTTCAGACAATATTCTGTTATAGTTCGAGGTACCCATGAAACTAGTTAGGTTGATTAAAATGTGTTTAAATGAAACGTCTGGTAAAGATCATATAGATAAACCTTTGTCTTGTAATTTCCCTACCCAGAACGGTCTAAAACTAGGAGATCCTTTATTGCCACTTTGCTTTATAATATGCCATTAGAAAGGTCCAGGAAGACCAGGTGGGACTGAAACTAAATGGGACACATCAGCTGCTGGTCTGTGCTGATGATGTGAATTTACTGGGTGATAATATAAATGCCATAAAGAAAAACACACAAACTTTAATTGACGCTAGTAAGGATGTTGGTCTACAAGCAAACACAGAGAAAATTAAGTAAATGTTGCTGTTTTGTCACCGGAATGCATGGCTAAGTCATGAAATAGATGGGCAACAGATACTTCAAAAATGTGGCACAGTTCAGCTATTTGGTAATGACTATAACAAATCAAAACCTGATTCAGGAGGAAATTAAGATGAGGTTGAACTCTGGTAATGCTTGCTACCATTCAGTCCAGAACCTTTTGTCTTCTCGTCTGCTGTCTAGAAACATAAAAATTAGAATATACAAAACTATAATTTAGCCTGTGATTCTGTATGGGTGTGAAACTTGTTATCTGACATTAAGGGAGGAACATAGACTGTGGGTGTTGAGAATATTTGGACCGAAGAGACATGAAGTGACAGCAGGTTGGAGAAAACTACTTAAAGAGGAGCTTCACAACTTATACTCTTCACCAAGAATAGTTAGAATGATCAAGTCAAGGGGGGTGACATGGGCAGGGCATGTAGCATGAATGGGGGAAAAGAGGAATACATAAAGGATGTTGGTGGAAAGCCAGATGAAAAGAGACCACTAGGAAGACCAAGATGTGAGTGGACAATATTAAAACATAGCTTAGAGATATAGGACGGGATGGTATGAATTGGATTGATCTGGCTCAGGATAAGGACCAGTGGAGGGCTCCTGTGAGCACAGTAATGAACCTGTGGGGTCCATAAAATGCTGGGAAGTTCCTGAGTAGCTGCACAATTATCAGCTTCTCAAGAAGGGCTCAGCTCCATGAATGAGTGTGAGCTCACAAAAGAAGTTTTCACTTTTAACTCTCATGGCAACAGTGACTTACATTGGAAAGTTGATCCATGTCTAGTATCAACTAGTAAAATGGATATCTGTAGAATTTGCTGTGGAGCAGCTTCTAAGAAACACTCAAACACACGCAGAAATGCCACATCACTATCTTCCTTCAGCATTTTTTCATAGAATCGGCGCTGATTTATAATATCTTGCTGCTTCTCTGCACGCCTGGATTTCAGTGCATAGCTTAAAGAATCACAGTACCTGTAGAGGCAAAATTAAATTAAATTAAACACACTACTCTGATGTGAGATCCTTACAGAACACCAGAATCTACAGACAATGACTCGATGCCTTATAGTCTGAGTTACTAACAACAGAGAATGGGAGACACAGCTGCCCCAGGTGATGCAGTCCATGGGGCAACAAAATGGGCAGATTAATTCATATTTTGAAAGAAATATTTAGGTGGATTCAAAATCTATATTGTGAGAAAGCATCTATTAGTTTAATCCAGTCTGTATGTCTGTCTGCATGAAATAATTTGAGAATGGCTGAACTGATTTTCAAGAAATTTTGCATCTAAGATATTTATGAAAAATTGTCAAACAATTTCAAATATCAAGATCAGCAGAATGGAAGTAGTGTTTACTGTAACTCTTTCATTCATTGTGACGGAATAATTTGGCTCACAATTATCTGATCATTATGAAAACAGATTTATCTGATGGTAGATATTTCTATATATGACCCTAATTTAACATTTTATTCAATGAAAATCATGAACCTAGAAATATAATGCAAAATGTGGAATAACCGAAAGTGTTGATTATTAATTATGACTCTTTCAGTCATTATGATAGAATAATTTGGCTACTAATATCCAATCATTATGAAAACAAGTTTATTTGATGGTATATATTTCTGTATATGCTTCTTGTTAAGCATTTCTTTATTAAGTTCATATTCTTGAATTTTCATACAAATTTTAGGACATCAGTGAGAAGAAAATCTAATAGTTGTCAAATCCTCTTAACCTTTAACGTCCGAAGTGCCCCAATCGGGCCAATGATGAGTATGGTTGTCTTGGCCAAAGTACCCCGTTTTGGCCAGTCGGGTATTTAAAGTCCACTAGTGGAAACGCGCACACATGCCACTAGTAGAACCACATGCAGTCCTTAGTATTTATTTTAAAATGTATTAATTATAATACAAACTTGAGGAAAACCCTAATAGAGGAAATAAAATGATACCTAAGTGAACAACAACAAAAAAGAGTACACAGATGAGTTATGCCCAAACTTATCCACGAGCCAGTACTTTTATTGCAGATTCTGCAGAGTGTGTTAAAAATATATAGCAAAATTCGATGTGCATACTTTTTTTGTTATCTGCTTGATGTATATATAGGTTGAAACTAAACTACGGTATTCAATTTCACTATGAATGCACAGATAACAGATCACACTCTGTATCTCAGCCACGGTGCAACTGCTCGTTCATGATGATAGAAAGGGCAATAATCTCTTCCAGCTATAACAGAAGGTCTTAGCATTGAAGAAGGGACCCCTCGAAGCTTTTTCTTGAATACCCATGCTTTCATTCTTCTGTTTTAGTCAAAAGACTCAAAAATCTGAAGGCTGTAACAAAGTTGTAAGGTTTTCCAGCAGAGAACCAAATTATTTTATTGCTTCCATCTGTTTTCTGACACCAGGGACTGCTAAAATTTGTCAAGTGTTACAAACAGAAGTGAATTTATAATGCAGAACAACTCTGTGAAGAACTGGGAAACCGTTTTTGCAGTACGCATCAAAATTAAAAGAAAAAAGTTGAAAATAGCGTATAACATTTGGTATAAAAATGTTCATATCTTCCATTATAATATGTGACACTATGTTCTTTGCTGATACAAACAAAGTTAGTTCGATCCATTTATCATAAAAATTGTGTAAGATACAGCATTTTTAAACACAATGCTTATAATTGTTTAAGTGCTCTAAGAGGAACGGACACTTAAACGCAGAGTAGCAACGGGCATTTAAACGTGCACCAGCAGTCGGCATATTTAAATAAACTCCGGCCAGCTCAAGTTTACCACCATTTCAAAAGTTCGGCGATTAACGGTTAAAACTACAAAAGGTCTACTAGACTCTTCTCTAACCAATGTTCAAGGATCAAGGAACATTTATTTTGTTTATTTTTGTGTCTTTTGAGGGTCAGAAATGATTTTTTCCCCTTTTGAGATACAAGACCTCAAACAGTGTGTTGAAACCATAAAACTGTCATCTTGCCCTGAAGAAGTCTGTTTTTCAGAAGCTGCTCTTGCCTTTAATTTCCTTTCCTTCCCTTCCTCTTTCTTTCATCTCTGTTTTTTGTATATGTTTTAACTTTGAAGCATTACAACAAAAGTTTTTTTTCTAAATTGTAAAGACCCCACTCTTCTCCAAATTCAAATGGAAAAAATCGAATGCACCTAATTTAAGTTACACATAAGCATACACGTACTTTTTTATTTTCCGCACTAAATGCATTTTTAACTTTTGAGCTATGAGAAAAAAATGAAAGCTTTTATTTAAATATGTGCACGCTGTTTGAATCAGGTACTTCATACACTGTAATTAGTGCTCTATACCGTTCAGTCTTTACAGATGCAAATATAGCTCAATAGCAACAGTTTCATACTTACCCTAGTAAAAGAGCTAGCAGTCTTCTACCTCACTGTTTTGTAGCTCTGAACATATTTTTGCTAATAACTTTGTTCAAATATGCTGAATGGTGATCTGCTTGCAGATTCCAACATTTTGAATAGGTGGAGGAACTACTTCTCCAGTTATTGAATGTACATAGGGTCAGTGATGTTAGGCAGACAGAAATCCATACAGCTGACCTGTTAGTCCCTGATCCTAGCCCTTCTGAAGCCGAAAGTGCTATTGCAAAATTGAAACGGTATAAATCACCAGGTAGCGATCAAATTCCAGCAGAACTTACATATGCAGGAAGCGACATAGTACGTTCTACGATCCACAAGCTAATTACTTCTATTTGGTATAAGGAAAAATTGCCTGATCAGTGGAAGGGGTCTATTAACGTACCAGTTCACAATAATGGTGATAAAACTGACTGTAGTAATTATAGGGGGATATCACTGCTATCAACTTCATACATAATTTTATCCAATATTCTTCACTCAAGGTTAAGTCCATACATAGATGAAATTATTGGGGATCATCAGTGTGGGTTTCGACGTAACAGATCAACTACAGATTAGATCTTTTGCATTGGTCTATGCCGATGGTGTGAATCTACTGGGTGATAATGTAGATACCATAAAGAAAAACACACAAACTTTAACTGACGCAAGTATAAAGGTTGGTCTAGAAGTAAACACAGAGAAAACTAAGTACATGCTGCTGCCTCATCACCAAAATGCAGTGGAAAATCATGACATAAAGATAGGAAACAGATGTTTTGAAAATGTGGCACAGTTCAGATATTTGGGAATAACGATAACAGATTGAAACCTGAGTCAGGAAGAAATTAAGAGGAGACTGAATTCGGGTAATGCTTGCTACCTATTCAGTTCAGAACCTTTTGTCTTCATGTCTGCTGTCCAAAAACATAAAAATTAGAATATACAAAACTATAAGTTTGCGTGTGGCCCTGTATGTGTGTGAAACTTGGTCTGACATTAAGGGAGGAACACAGACTAAGGGTGTTTGAGAACAGGGTGTTGAGGAGAATATTTGGACCGAAGATAGATGAAGTGACAGGAGGTTGGAGAGAACTGCACAATGAGGAGCTTCATAACTCGTACTCTTCTCCAAGTATAATTAGAATGATCAAGTCAAGGAGGATGAGGTGGGCAGGGCATGTAGCATAAATGGGGGAGGCGAGAAATGTGTATAAGATATTGGTGGGAAAGCCAGAAGGAAAGAGACCACTGGGAAGACCAAGGCATAGGTGGGTGGACAATATTAAAATGGATCTTAGAGAGATAGGATGGGATGCATTGGATTAATCTGGCTCAGGACAGGGAACAGTGGAGGGCTCTTGTGAACACGGTAATGAACCTTTGGGTTCCATAAAATGCTGGGAAGTTCTTGAGTAGCTGCAGAACTGGCAGCTCCTCCAGAAGGGATCAGCTCTATGAGTAAGTAAGTAAGTAAGTAAGTAAGATGAAACTCTTCCATCAGATTACCTATCTTAATGCCTTCAGAAATCATTGTTCACAAGGGAATAAATTCATACGCAAGAGTTTCAGGAACAACTTGTAAGATGTCTGTTGCAATATAACTTTGCTTTGTGAAGTCTGAAAACTGCATCTGTTCTGATGTTCCAATCTGTAATGCAAAAGTGAAATTCCCTGTGCTTGAGCAATTAAGCATTCCACCACACAGATGTACGGTGTGGTGGAAGCACAGTTCAACCATTCTTAACCTTGGCATTAGATGGGAGTGGTCTGTTTCATGCCATTACCACTTTGCCCTTGGGGAAACAGCACCTGGTACTCACTGTATGGGAGACTGGGTGGGACCAAAAGCCAATCTGCCACACTGATTAAAATATGGTCGTGTTATGTGTATTGCTTGGATTTACATGCAAGGACAAAAACATAAAATCTGCAACCTTCAACTAACTTCAATGACAGGGGAACAGAGGTCTCAAGTCTCCAGCTGATTCTATAATGGAAGAAAAACTGTTGATAGATTTGAGGTTTTCACGGCGGTGACTATGAAGAAGGCAGTCTTCTTGGATTTGGCACCGTGTATATGTGGTGTTAACCGACGTTTCGGAGGAATGTCGGTTAACACCACATATACACGGTGCCAAATCCAAGAAGACTGCTTTCTTCAAAACTGTTGATGTTTGGTTCATAACAGGACAAATACTTTGTTCAATTTCTTTATGAGATGATGGTCAAAGATATATAGTTTAGGACCCAGCTGTCATAAAACTATGAGACTTCAAATTATATCATCAGAAACTCATGCAAGGTCACTCCTGACTTTTTGTCATAAGTGATAAAGAAATCTTCTCACTCACAGCTAAGTACCTGTATTAGGCAATGCTGAAGGGTGGGGAAGAACAGTGATTCATTAGTACCTTTTAATATTCCATAATATATTCAACACATTATTAATTTTGATATATGGTATACCTTTATATTTATCTTTTATCTTATTTATGTATTTGCTACTTTAATTATAACACCAACTTGAGGCAAAAGTTTTATGTTAGTATATAATACATGTTACACTGTTAGGGATCCATATCAGTATTTCAATGACTATACATATTCCTGTGTATAACTGCCTGATGATGGTCTTATATGACTGAAACATGTAGCAGGAATAAAGATCGAAATTAAAACTGAGTATTTCTTGTGTTGACGGTAGACATAATTCCTATTTATATATATATATATATATATATACATATCTGTATATCTGTTTCGCTTTACCTGTAGTAGTGTTTCGATAACTTTCCTAAAAATTAATGACAATTCTTTTAACACAGAATGAATGTGAATTCCTTTTCTTTTGCACTCCAACAGATCTATCACAGGGGGTGAAAGTTGGGTTTTTCAGTATACCAAGAGACAAAGCAACACAGCATGCAAAAGAAATTTGCAGGCTCACTTCGCCTCAAGCAAATGATGATTTCAAAATGAGAGATCAAGACAATATTTGTAATTATTTGTAATAATTTTGTAACCAGCACTTCCTGTACAAAATTCCTAAGGATGATAATGAATGAAACTTTGTCTTGGGATTATCATACTGAAGCACTTGCAAAAAAAAATGAGCAAGGCTTGTTATAATTAGAAGCACCAAAACATACATGACTACCTCATCATTCAAAATAATTCATTATGCTTTCTATCACTCAGTGATGAGCTACAGAATCATATTTTGGGGTAATTCCCCACACAGCACCACAATTTTTTGTTTACAGAGAAAAGCAATTAGAATTATGGAAGGATGTGGGAATAGGGTTTCCTGTAGAGACTTATTTAAGAAACTACATATTTTGTCTCTGACATCTCAATATTTATTGTCCTTATTGATGTTTGTAGTTCAACATAAAAACCTTCATATAACGAGCATTAAAAGTCACAACCTAGAAACTAGGCAAAGTAATAATGTATATATTCCACAGGCAAACTTAACCACTTATCAAAAAGGAGCCTATTATTCGGGGATAAAAAACTTTAACCAATTACTCTCTCATGTTAAGAATGTTAATGGTAACATAGCTAAATTCAAAACCACTTTAAAAAAATTGTTATACACGAATTCACTATACTCATTAGAAGAGTACTTTGATCAATAATGAGAGTTAGTTATAATAAACATATCTGAATGTAAATTTTATGCTTCACTTGTGTGTTATATTTGTAATTTAAGATTTGTTTGTTCATTGTAAACTCATTTTATAATGCCTGTTTTGTTTTAATTATGAGTTCTACCTGTGCATTGCCAATTAATCTTATTTTCAGTAATCTGAAGGATTTATTTACTATTTGTAACTCATGATTGTTTATTGTGGATTTCTTATTTAGTATGACTGTTCTTAAATGATGTTTCTGACTTTTTTTTATGTAATCTATGGCCTTAACTATTTATATTTTATACTCTTGTAATATTCCATGTAAACAACTTTTGTAATTGGCCTGTATGTACTGAGTGAGAACAAGTTCTGTATCCATCTTGTGGATGTCTGGAATACTGAATAAATACTAATACTAATACTATAACAAAATCAAGATGTCTTGTTTACCAATCAAGACTGACCTTTTCTTTTTCAAAGGTGACAATTTACTAATCATACAATAACTAAAAGTCTTCTTAAATGAGCAGCAGAATTACCCATTTACTTCTAAAGTTAAAAGTTGATGTCTCTATTTCGAGAGAAATTAGGTTTCACAAGCATACCATTTGGTCAAAATTACAAATATTACCTCAAGACTGGTGCCAGTTGAAACAGCAACACAAGAATACGGATAACCCACTTCCTTGATGCCATTTTTGACACTGAATTACATTCCTTGTCAATAGCATACCTGTAATGTAATACGCTCATTGTACATTACTAAAATATATAAACTGTTTACTAATCAAGAGTATTACTGCTTCTACTTACATTCTAACACTAATAACGGTGTTGACGAGGGCAGGAAAGAGTATAAATATCACTGTAAGAATAGAATATTCACTCCTACCACTGTGAAAATAGCGATAGGCTAAATTAATATCTAAACCTATATCAATTATATGGCTAATTATCGACACTATAAGGACAAGAATATCGAAGTTCGTAACATGTCCATTATTTGGGACAAAATCAACATCATCTTCAGCATACACTTGTGATGAAATGACTGTACTCTGTAACCCGACATCTTCCTCTTTATTATAGTACTGACTCTTATCGTCAGCTACTAAATCTGTCAACATTTTACTGCAAAATACTTGTTATACTTGTATAACAGAACACCAGAAGCAATGATTTCACAACCGATATTTTTGTACATAAAACCACACATGCCATTTGTCACAATTTATTACGTAGGATTACGAAATTCTTTTCCTTAACCTCCTTAACTGACCACATTTTAAAATACCGATTAACCAGAAATCGGAAAGTTCTCATGTTTGATCACTCCGCTCTGTGTAATTTAATCTATATCCATCTGAGTCAATGATCGTCAATGATCGTCAATGATCGTGTTCAATTTTTGATACGAGGTATCTACGACTCCAGCGCAATCAATGCTTAGGGGTTTGATGCTACTGTCATGTGCGTCATGTGTAATAATCACGGAGATCATGGAAATACCGTTCGGTATGTGGGATTTGAAGTCCACACGGGAGAGAGCATGAAGAGTAGTAACTTCTCCAGGGATACACGGCCGTGTAAAAAGAATGAATTTCCCAGCATTTTATGGAAAACGAAGGGTCATTACGGTGTTCACAGTGTTGATTTTCTTTGTGTCGTGCTTTCATATCACTTAACAGCCATATTGGCCGAGAAGAACCCTTTATAATAATAATAATAATAATAATACAAAACAACAACAAATGAATATAGATCACTATTACCAACATGAACATATTTACATTACTAGATTCTCCACATTCGTCCTTAATTTCAAAATGTTAGAAACACATTTCTCATTTTCCTCCTTAATTTCAAAATGTTGTCAACATTATTAGCTGTTTTACAAAGTTAAATTGCATAACACTTAGTAATTTAGGTCTTCAGATTACAAAATTAGTACATGTAATTCAAATTTTCTCAGTCTTATCAAAATCAGACTTATTTCTTCTTAAGTATAATGTCTCTAAACTTGGTAAATTTCTCTGGTGATAGAGAGTTTGTTAAAATGTCTGCCACCTGAGTTTCAGTGTTACAATATTTGACTGAGAACAGTTTCTCATTCAATTGTTCCCTTATATAGTGATAGCTAACATCTATGTGCTTACTCCTACGCATTACTGTCCAGATTCTATTAACTTGATTGCACTCTGATTGTCGACACACAGTTCAGTTACCACCCTTTTTCCTGTCAACTCCTCTATCAACGTCTTTAGATATTTCAATTCTTTACAGCACTCAGCTGCTGCAATATATTCGGCCACAGTGGTTGATAATGCAACAAAACTCTGTTCCCTAGAGCACCATGCTTTAGGCCCCCTGACATCATAATTACATAGCCCGTTACACTCTTCCTATCCTTTACATCCCCTGCATAATCAGCATCACTAAATGCTTCCAGTTTCACAGTTTCAGAATCAGATAAGGTATATTTTATTCCTCAATCTCATGTACCCTTCACATACCTAAGGGTCCTTTTTACATTCTGTCCAGCCTGTCACTATACCGATTGATGTATCCCAGCTCAGTAACACGCTAAGATTACACAAAATATCAAGATTAAATTTCACACTTTTAACCCATGCATACATAATACACTGTGTTGAAATTCAAACACCGAGATCCTATGATTTTTTAGTTCTTGGACATTATCCACCATCCTGTTTTTTGTTTAAAACACAGCATGTCAGAGAAATGTTTTTGTCTTCCAGTTGGGCCCAATTGATAGAGCTTATCTCTGGAAAATAGCACCACCACAAATTAGAATGTATAAACAAAACACAATATCAGACATCAGTGGGAAATAAAGATTAATATAAAATATCCACACACATGAGGCCTGGCACCTATGGCCTTGCATATTGTAATGGCCAGTGTCTGTATAATCATTGTACTATCAAAATAGAAGCCCACAGCAAAGAGATGAGGGTGTCACTATAGACCAAGGGTCTCCAAACTACGGCCCGCGATGTGATTTTATCCGGCCCGCGAAAGAATTGTGCAGAAATGTGCCAATTGAACTAATTTTCCATTGAGTACTGGTAAAAAAAAATACTTGTTCATAGATTTCAAATTCAGTAATTAAGATTGTGTTCAAAATATAGTGATATTCCATATTATGTTAATATTAGTATTATTCACAATTTTACTAATTCTGGACTGTATACTGCGTGGTATTTCTTCGTACTTGTTCGGCCTCAATCGGCAGTGTCACTTCGTGGCAATGTAGGTAGCGCGAGCAGAATTTCCATCCTCGTTTGCAAATTTCGTCATTTCAGATGTGAAAGAACAATTTTGGAAGCGATTTGCTGATTTTGATGCCAGTGCTTAGGAAATTAGATTGTTTCAAAATCCGTTTGACTGTGATGCTGCAGATGTCCCAAGTCAAATTCAAATGGAAATTATTGAACGTCAGGAAAATTATCGTATTAAAGACAAATACAAGGAAGGAAATTTGATCGAATTTTATAAATTTCTGAACTCTGAGCAATTTCCAAATTTAAAGAAATTTGCTTGTAAATTTATCTCCATTTTTGGGACGACATATCTGTGTGAACAAACTTTTTCCCAGATGAAGTACATCAAGTCGAAATACAGGGCAAATTTATCCGATGAACATTTAAAGTCGCTACTTGTGATTAACGTTTCAAAATTTGAACTTCAATTTAATCAGATTTTAAGAATTGTGGGGTTTTACATCGTTACTTCGATGGCAACCCACTTCTTTGGAACAGTTTTGTAGGTCCTGAAAAGGACCGTTGGTTGCTGAGATGCTTGACTGGTGAGGTAGCGCAGCGCACGCCAGTAGGAAGGGAAGTCGGTTACGGTGTGTTGAGGCGGCTGAGTCAGTTGAATGGCCGCAGTGCGGTCGTTGCTGGAGGTTGCTTGGTTGCTGGAAAAGGTTTGCTTGCCGAGCGCGGTCGCAGGAGTGGAGCTACGACAGTTGCCCAGTGTGTCGGGCATGACTACCGACGAATCGAGATGGCCGAGTTGCCCAGTGAGTCGGATGTGAGACCGCCGGACAGCCGAGGCAGTCGTACCTGGTGCAGCGAAGTGCCAATGCCTCCAAAGACCGCTGACCGACAAAGCGTGCTGATTGCTTGTAGATTGCTTGAAGACTGCTGATCGAAGACTGATTACTTGCGAGCTTGTGCTCCGCCTTTTATACAATGCGTATTGGCGGAGTAAAAAATTTTGCTGAGCGCTGGTTGGCTAGCGCGCATAATGATGTGGATTCAGGCTAGTAGCAAGCGCTGTATAAATGCGAACATTGGATGCAATTTGATTGGTTTGTCATCCATCACCTCCCCCAAAATACTCCAGCGGAGGATATCTCTGACGGTCTGGTGAGTCTGGGTTTTGACGTTATTAACGTCAAACAAATGACAACTAGTCGTCGGACGCCTCTGGAAGGAGCAAGGTCCATCAATCTTCTCCTCTTCCTAGTGACCCTCCCAAGAACCAAAAAGTCCCAAGAGCTCTTCTGGTTAACCAACCTCTGCCACATTGCCATCAGGGTAGAGGCCTACAAAGCGCAAAACAGGCTTACACAATGTTACAACTGTCAACAGTTCGGCCACGTTTGGGCTAACTGCAAACAGCCCCCACGTTGTTTGTGGTGCGGAGGTGGCCACTTACACAAGGAGTGCCCAGAAAAGGAGAACTCTGTCTCCACCCCAGTATGCTACAACTGCCGATTGGCGGAGGGAGAAAAGCCACATCCCGCCAATTATCGGGGTTGCAAGCATGCCAAGAAGAGCAACAGAGAAGGAAGGGTCAGAGAACGTCCAAAACTACGGGGAGGGTGTTCTCTTCAGCCATCGTCACTCCAGGTGTCTCCTTCGCAGCAGGTCTCCGAGGCAGTACAGCAGAGCAGCAACAGCGCCCTCAGGAAAGCCATGTTCCGGTGGCTACAGCCACAACAAAGAAGCAGATTGTACCGGCCCCTGCTCCGCAGAAAGAAACAGGTCAGTCAGTTCAGGCTACTCACGTAAACGGTCAAACTCTCGACAATATGTTGAGAGTAGTAACTGTAGTACAGCAGATTATGACAGAGGTCAGTGGTGCAGTGTCCGAGGACAAAATAATGGCCATTACCAAAATTGTTCTAAACCTTGTGAAACAAAATGGCCACTAGAGTTCATAGGCCCCTCAAAGTCATAGCATTTAATGCAAACGGCATTGGGAGGCAGCGCTATGAGCTCAGTAAACAGCTGCAAGACCTACACATAGATGTGGCCCTGTTTTCAGAGACACATCTGAAACCTCATGAGAGGTTCTTTATTCCAAATTACCACTTTTATAGAAT